GGCACATACAACAGTCCTCAGAGCTGGCACTTCTTGCTCCTTGCCCAAGCCCCTGTCCTCTCTCAGTGCCCCTCTGTAGTAACCTTCTTTCTGGTCTCCTTCTGTTCTCCACTCAGCAGCTGACGTGATCTTCTAAAAGTTCAAGTCTTTCCACCCGACTGCTCAGCTTCTAGAGCACATGGACAGAGCACTGCCGTCTGTCCTGTGACTCTTGCCCCTGTCTCAGCCTCCTCTCCCAGTGCTCTGGCCTCACTGGCTGTATTTCAGAGGCTTGAAGTTTTCACACTCTTTCCTGTCTCAGGCCTTTGCACATGCTGTTCCCCTTGTCTGGAAACCTTTCTTTTTCCTTCTTTCCTCCCTTCTTTAGGTCCCAGCTTAAATGGCATTTGCATGATTCCCATTTTTAACTGCTCCTGTGTTTTTCCTTCATAGCCCTTACCAGGGTTAGCGTTTAATTAAGTTATTGTGTAATTTTTCTTAATGCCTGTCTTCCCCATTGGACCATAAACTCTTTGAGGGCCGAGACTGCATCTGTTTAGTTCTCCAGAGCATGAAGTAGTCAGTTGCCAGTAAACCAAACCAAACCAGTTACCGTCGAGTCAATTTCGACTCATGGTGACGCCCTGCTCTGTGGAGTTTTCAACGGCTGCTTTTTCAGAAGTAGATCACCAGGACTGTCTTCTGAGATGCCTGTGGGTAGACTCAAACCTCCAACCTTACTTTCAGTTAGCAGCCAAGGACTTTAATCATTGGCACCACCCAAGGACTCCAGCTGTCAATAAATGAATGAAGGCAATTGGGTGAGCAAAGCCAAGGAGAACCAACCGGGAATATGTGGCTATTTCCACAGATGTTAAGCCCTCACTCTATGGGGTCCATAGAATGTGCCTGTGGCTCAAGTTTAAAGAGGATGCTAAAGAATAGAGATTGAATTGTTTGCTCTGTGCTTAGAGGGCCCACAGCCTAAGGTCTCTCTGATCATTTTTGCCAGGACCCACTTGGAGAGACCATAAAAGCAGTCGAGGGGAGGGTATCCCTTGCCTGAAAGAACTCCCTCATTCTGGGTGCACCAGCCTGCCCCAAGCTGGGTTGTGCTTATTGAGTGTGGCCAGGCTGCCACTCCTGATCCAGAGGACTTCAAACTTTCAGGCCTTGTCAGAACTAAGAGAGTGGTCAGGGGTTGTACTCATCAGTAGAAGTCTGTTGCATTTTAGTTAATTATCTCACTGCAGAGAGCACATTTTTTTTTTTTTTTTTT